TGCAATTACCAATGGCATCGCAATGCTCTGCAACATCAATGGAGCGACCACGGAAGCCACACGTTTGGTCGGTGGAAGTATGCGGGCTTGGCTGTTCGCGATCCTATACCTTACTGAACTATTCTACCACCCCACTACTTACGTGCAATCAGAAATCCATGATGTTTACACGATCATTCCGAATAAAGATGTCCTTTTTTACTGATCATATGGTGCTGCACTACAGGTTCCGTCTGATCGATGATACGAATTAGTAAAAACTCGAATGAAGAGTAAGGAAAATCCAAGCTATCACACTGATAACGTAGGCCTAGTGCTGTTTCTGTACCACCACTTGTTGTTATACTTCCGTCATCATACATCGAGTCGTAAAGTTTTGTGAATGAGAGATTCGCTCGAACGTGAAATTGGCTACAGAGGGCCTTTTGCAAATAATAACAGAAACCATATAATCATCATAATTTGATGTAAAGGTGGGTGTAACGTTTGTATTTTCTATAAGGTACTCTGCCTGGAGTAATTACTCATTCTGTATCGACATTTCGCAATGCTCTATTTTTAGATCGTAGTTAGAATGATTAGAAGTCAAATCGCAGCAGATTAAAGAGTGATTAAAGAGTAAAAAGAGGATGAAGCGGCCGTGAAGCGGTGACAGTCACTGTTAAACAAACACATCAATAATATTTAGAAATTCAAAGTCAATATATTTAACAGTTTATCACCTAAAGCCATTATGTAAAGAATAACAAATACTAAAGGGATTGAAGGTTGAATGAGTTCAAATAACAAAAAGCTCTTTCTCCTAAACCCCAATTATATAATCCATTCTTCAAGTTCCGAAAAAGGCGGATCCTTTTCCCTTTTTTACGATCCAATAATGGCCTATAATCTTTTCAGAAAAAGTTCCTCCTTCCGCCTTTGTATAACTCCAAATTGAAGTTTCATGACCGTGAAATCTAAAAGGTATCTTGAAGTGAATGGGCACAATTTGCAGGGGGCTGAGTCCGGCTGACGTAATTCTTGCCCAATTCATCTTAACTTAGTTTGTATGTATACCCGAGCACAGGGATAAACCTGAGAGTCGGCGAGGGCAACCTTTTCATCAGATAAGAAACAACAACTTTATACTGAGTAACAACTGCATCAGTGTATTAGCAGGCACGTAGCCAGAGTTTGATGTTATTATTATTATTTATTTTTTTTTTTTTTTTTGGGGGGGGGCACATACATGTAATCGATCGAGGTAAAAAAAAAGGGGTCCAAAAAAGTTCAACCGATCTTGGAAATTTTTGGCCCCCCCCCCCCCCCCGTGCTCCCGTGGCTACGTGGCTACGTGCCTGTGTATGAGAGGTTGTTTTCAGAAATTTTCTGTTGTATTCATTGATTTCCATTCTCAAAACTCTAATTCTTTTTTGTACATAACATAAAAGCCAAGCATTTTCCAGTTCTTAGTTTTGTTTTATTTTATTTGATAAACAAACATAAATAAAACATAATTTATTATTCATTATTTCACAATGTAGGCCTATGTGAATAAAATATAACACAATAACATCACAGGAATATATTGTCGCACTTCACATAATTATGTTATTCCAACACCAGAAACTAGAACAAGCATTGTTTGTTTTTTCTTCAAAATTAAACTGAATACTCTAAGTTGATTTTCACAATAATTTTTAATCATATTTGAAGTTATGGGTTTTTCCTTTATTAAAACAATACTCGAAAATCCACACCCTCCCTTCCCTTTTCTCCAACTCCTTGGACGGTATTGGTAAATTGGTGATTTTCTCGATCTCCCTCAATGTCGGTTTGATAACAGTTCTATTTTTTCATCGACAGCGGTGGTGCTTATAGTTATATGCATGCCCTCACCGGCCCCTTTAGAAAACAATGTGGCATATTTCTTAAAGCCCCTATCAGCGATTTGCAAGCCCTCTAAATCTTATATCAAAATGTATCTGTAGCAGCAAAATTTATGAGTTTATGTGCAAAATTTCAGATAATAAGAATCTGTGGTTTTCTTCCTGTATATAATTATATAGGTGAAAAGGAAGCCCTCATTTTGAACACAACAAACGGGATGAATAAAACACTGCCATGCAGTTGCAAAAGTTAAAATTTGAAGAAAAGAATGAATATAATTTTTTATTGATAATGAACATTTGTGATCTTTACAACATTTAAGCAATTTGACAAGTATTTAGATTACCACCATGCAAATGCCTGCAAAGTATTGCGGCCCGTTTCAATTTTATATCCAATTGGCATATACCACTCTGATGAAAAGTACTTTTGTTTTACTTCTCCTATTTTCGTTAGGAATTAAGCATTATGATGCTCGTGTATATACATTTACACCTTGATTAAGAATGATCTTACAGTTTTATTCTGATTCGATTCATTGTTTGTCTGCATCTTATGTTTTCATTTAAAGCCCCCCTGTCCTACTTGTAGCTACTTGCTCCCTCTATATAGAAAACTTCCCCGCTCGGTGCCTGATGGTCCCCCATGATCCTCTATTTCTTATGTTACTTGAGAGCTGAGTTGATGAGACAGCCACCTGTCAGTAACCTCGCTGTGTGGTCTAATCCCTCCTAAGAGTAAGAGTCCTAGCCACACTAGTGTTGATAAGCTTTAAGATCTGACTCAGAAGTGTCGTAGTCGAATGGTTTAGGTACTTGTCTTGAAATTCAAAGCCGTGGTTCGATGTCCTTTAGCAAGGCATTAATCTGCAATTGCCACACTCGACCCATACAGGGTGAGGTAAATGGGTACCTGGCAGAAATTAATTCTTTAAAATGCTAGAGCGCTGGGGTAATAATAAATGCGCCTCGGAATATAATTTCTAGATATAGACGGTGCAATAGAAATGCCTATTATTATTATAAATTGTTTTGATATAGCAATTGGAAATTTACTAGCCTACGAAATTTAACAAATATATTGAGGCATACTTAGGGTTATAGATAATTCAGTCTCGCCACTCTCTTGCCTTCAAAGCGCAAAACAGACTTCATTTTTTTTAAAGATCCTGTCGGAAGTGATAAATGAATTAATTGAATTGTAATTAATTCAACGGAAAGCTTGTAAGGCATAGATAGGCCTACAATAAAATCAATTAGAAAGGAGTCATAGCTCTCTGAAAACTCGAAATCTATAAAGCCTCGAAAATTGAGAGTTGTCGACCTAAAAACTAGCCATCGACTTGATGACATAATCTTATTTGGAATACGCATAATTATTCACAATGACTTTGCATTAATTAAAAGCACGGCTCATCGCCTCAGCTGTATTGGCGGGCCGATTGACACCAGTCCTGTTGACTAGTAATTAGAAGCGAGGGATGCGGAAAATGAGGTAATTGAAAAATGAAATATTGTTTATATTTGTAATTCTATGTTCATTTAGCTCTCCATTTATAAAAACTTGAATTTTCATCGGACGGGTCTTTAATGATGACTTTGCCAACTTGAAGTTAGTTTTGTATCAGTTATTTGGAAACTTTTTAGCTGCTGCAGGACCCGACTGATTTCTATTTTTTATTTTTAATGATCCTCATCCTATTAAGTTATACAAAAAAAAACCCCAAAAAACATCAGAGCCAAACAAATAAAAACTATGAGTACCCCATATTCAGCTGAACACAGCGATGATTCCCAGCCTCCCACCCCCCCCCCAAAAAAAAGGGGGTTGCCTGTGGTTCGGCAGAGCAAGTATATAATTATATAAATATATTACTTTTTGCCTTTTCTTCGAGTCGATCGATTTTGGGCACATTTTGCTTCTTCATCATGTGAATAACGCTGCCTAAATGACGAATTCAATGGAAACATGCTGTAAACTCTTTGATTATTCTAATGACGTCATACTCTGTGTCATCCTGAATGCGTTTCATTATCATCATCATGCACTCCCTTTGTACTGTCGATGATTCGTTTGACTGAATCTTCACGATATGTTGACAGCAACATCAATGCGCGGGCATCCGGTTTTTGAACTGGAATGATACATTTTGCTCAACTGAAGTTCATACACTTGCTTATTATGATTCCATATTAAAATGAGAGCATATTTTTTCAAATTCGAAAATCTGAGGACCTATTTTTCTTCTTGTTTTTGTTGAGGAGAGAGAGAGAGAGAGAGAGAGAGAGAGAGAGAGAGAGAGAGAGAGAGAGAGGGGGGAGGGGTGAGGGGGGGGGGGGCAGTGAATGGGTGAAAGAGTACCGGAGCTACCAGAGGCTTTGCCTACTGGATCCCAAGGGCCCTAAACTGAGCAGCCCCCTGGATGCTCATCTGATCGTAATGTAATGCCTAAAACCCCTTAGATTATGGGGGCTACACCCCCTTTATACCCCACTCCAATTAGTGACCTGCATGCTAGTGTCACAAGGTATCAAAACATGCTCATTGAGCTTCATGGGGCTATGCCCCTTGACACTGCATGCCGGGGCTTTCCCGGTGGACGCCATGCCAATTTACGTTTCACTTGCTTCGCTCGCTTTGCTCTACCTGATCGTAAATACGGAGCACCTCCCCCTCCCCCCGGCCCCCCCTCCGCCCCACTTTGAAAAACTTCAAGTCCACGGGGCCTGCATGACCTAAGAGTGGAGGTGATGCAGATTTTTTTCCTGCCCCCCAAAAAACGTTTTTGCTCATTACACCACTGCTCCTTCGTCCCTCGCATTTCGTCCCCCCCCCCCCCCCCCCCCTCACCGGCCATGAAAAGAAATCGCCGCCCTTGATTTTTAGATGTGTTTCGCCTATGTTTTTATCATTGCCATAATTTGTTTTTGTTTTTTTATTTGTAAATATGTAATGATCTAATGTAATGCTCTTTGTGGCATTTGAAAGAAAGACGAAAAAATAGTGCTAGTGCGCCCCATCTCCGCGTATATCGACAACGCCTGGAAATGCAAGACTATTGCCATGTGTTTACACGACATGCATGAATGCTGAGACAGCATGCAGCGCAGACGAGCTTCATGGAACTGTGGTCGAGATCTCCCGAATGTAATGCTTGCCCCAATTTTTTGTAATTTTCATTGATAATGGATGTCGATGATCTGAAAGAATTGCACTTGCTGAGGGAGGAGAATGCTCGTTTGAGGTTACAGCTTGAGAAACATGAATTAGAATTGGTAAAGCACGCTCTATAAAGTATATCAAATCGTTATCCGTCAGCGTCAACGCGCGTCACGTGTTTGTGAGTGTCACTACCAATCAAGTATAGTCCCATGTGTTGAGCGCCATGTTTGTAATTGTACTAATTCTATAATAATTCTCCTTATTGTTGTCGTATGTTCTTCCTTATCTATTCTTAGTTGTGTGTGTGAATGACTGTGACGATGTTAAACAAGCTGTTTCTCTGAAACTAATAAACTGCTTAAGTAAGCTAAGCCTAAGAATTAGTAAGATAAGCAGTAGGGGCGCTGGTCCAAGAATGAGGATCGTCCTCATAAACGAGGACAAAATGCGTCCTCAAAAATAAGGGTTGTCTGCATTTTTGAGGACGTTTTTTTTCATTGGCGCTCTGGGGGTTTCATGTTACAGAACGGCCTTCTGGCGATGCCAAAAATGGATTCCCCGGGGGAAAATAACCCTAGTTCACCGTCTACTGGGTTGTCCGTCTTCCCAAGGATTTATTGCTTATAATGTGAAAGTCTCTGTACAATGTCAATGTAAAATGCATCAAGAAAATCATTGCAGAATCCGTTTTTTGCATCGCCAATGCACCGATCAAAAATATGAAACGTCTGCAAAAATGCAGACGGTCCTTATTTTTGAGGACGCATCAGTCCGTGTTTACGAAGACGATCCTCGTTTATGAAGACGATCCTTATTCTCGGACCAGCGCCCCTACTGATAAGGGTAAGGTCTTGGGACTTTCATAAATTAAATTTGATTTTTGAAAATGTATTCATTAGAGAGAGCTCAATCTTAGCTATCTACCTATAAAGATTAAAGGGGAAGTCCACTTTTATATTAAGCTTCCTTTTATAAACTAGTCTAGAACTAGAAGCAGAAAAATAAATGTATCCATGACAAAAATTTGAGCAAAATGCAATGAAATAAAGGGATTTTGTTATTTTATTACTTGATAGGCCTAGAGTTTTCGACCACTTAAGACAAAATCCTACTTTTCGGACTCTTTACTCCCTATTTATTATCATTTCTTGTTTAAATGATCATGAAGCAAATATTATTATTATTTAAACAAAAAAAGAATCCTAGAAAAAATCATGAATTGCCATGACAATATTCATTTCAATTTTCACGGTTTCGGAGGCAGTTATCGACATAGCGAGCCAGTTTTCGACCGCATGTACATACATACATACAATTGTCTTTTATATAGCGCAACATCCAACGAATTGCTCGAAGCGCTTTACAGAAAAAATGACATAGTAAACACAAGATAGTACATGTATAAAAGAGTAATTATAATAACAAACAAAAATATTAGAATTACAATTTACTTATTGAAGAGGTACGTTTTTAGTTTTTTCTTGAAAATTTCAACTGAGGGAGAGGTACGGAGGTCGAAAGGGAGGGTATTCCAAATTTTGGGGCCATAATAAAAGAAACTACACTCCCCCGATCTTGAATTGATACGTGGTAATCGGAGGAGCGTGGGGTCGTTAGAAGAGCGGAGGTTGTATTTAAGTCTAGGAGGAGTATGTAGAAGCACAGACAGATACATTGGTGCACAATTATTCAAACATTGGTAGACAATTAGGGAAACTTTGTATATGATTCTGTTATTTACGGTTAACCAGTGTAATTGCTTAAGTAGAGGAGATGCTGATTCATACCTGCTCCCTCCCAAAACAACCCGGGCAGCACGATTTTGGATTCGTTGTAATCTTTGAATGTCTGTCACATTAGCATTCAAAAGAAGAGAGTTGGCATAGTCTATTCTACTGAGGATTAATGATCTTACGACATGATGGCACGCATCAGAGGTCAACAGATTCTTGATTCTAGAGATATTGTACAAATGAAAGTTAAGCGATTTACACAAAGCAGTAATTTGTTTAGACATGGACATTGAAGATTGAAAGAAAATACCTAAGTTTTTGACATTGTCAGACATTTGTACTCTACCATTTCCTATGTTTATACTTATATCACGCGGTAAGTGATGTCTAAGCTTTGGTGACATGGCCAGCAGTAGTTCCGTCTTTCCTTCGTTCAGTTTGAGTTTATTTAAGGTCATCCATATACTAATTTCAGAGATACATTGTTCCAGTTTACTTATTTCTTCTTGAAAATTTGCAAGACTTTTGGGGTTGAAACTTGTGTATATTTGTGTGTCGTCAGCATACATATGATATCTAAGACCGTAGCGACTAATAATTCTTCCCAAAGGTTTGACGTATAGCGTAAAAAGGAGCGGGCCGAGTACGGACCCTTGTGGAACTCCATAATCTAAAGTATGAACATCAGAGTAAGTGCTATCTATGCGAACCCGATAGGTCCGACAGTTAAGATACGACCGAAACCACTGCAGAGCCGTGTCACGTATTCCAAATTCTGAGGAAAGCCTATCAATCAAAAATCCGTGGTCAATGGTATCGAAGGCTGCGCTTAAATCTAATAAAACTAGTATCACACCACGCCTTTTATCAATTTCACATAGAATATCATTTCTAACACGGGTTAGTGCAGATTCAGTACTATGATGTCTCCTGTATGCCGACTGAAATTCATCTTGTAAGCTAAGCTCTTCGACATGGGCTGTCAGTTTTGAGGACACCACAAGCTCAATCACCTTGGATATGTAAGCAAGATTAGATACAGGCCTATAGTTTTTAAGTTCCGAAGAATCCAACGAAGATTTTTTCAGGTGAGGAAAAACTATTGCATATTTAAGTTTGTCAGGGAAAACTCCATTCACTAACGAGCAGTTTATGATTGACGTGATAACGGGTACCATTACCAGTACAAATTCAATAAGAAGCATGCGCACGGGCGGAGCAGGTATCCCATGCCGGTGCTCGCCATGTCGAAAACTAGCACTGCGTTGATCGGAAATTGGAATGGTTGAGCCACTCAAAGCTATGCTGACAGCGGTCTTCATTGTTTTTGATGTGTCTTTCATCTTTCATGTCTTGCATAGGCAGGAATGAGGTCTAGACATATTTCAAGGTGTTTGCACAGCTGCATGTGTTCATTAGCCCTTGTTATTTTGACTTTGTAAAATTTGTTGTTGACCCTTTTATAATTCCATATACATCTAATGCCCACTCCTAGATGACCGATGCTGCCTGGAAGCAAATGAGAAGGCTCTTCAGTGTGCAAGAGCCTGGCAGAACATTTAAGCTTAGATGATGGATATGAAAGAAGAATCTTCTGACGTGTATAATAACAATAGAATTCTAAATAGGGATTGTCAAAAGAAAAGTCTGAGTAGACATCTTCATGAAAAACAAAGCAATGTATTAGAGTACTTTTTAAATGGGTTTTTTTTTGTCATTTTATTCTTATTACACATCTAGATGAAAGCTGAAGATGAAAACCACTCCAGCAATGACACCTCAGCAGAAGCGCGACCAAGTATTACCCATCTTGACAATGCTAGTATCAAGAGATACAGCAGACAGCTCATTCTACCAGAACTGGGAGTGAAAGGTATGATATCCCATCTGATTTTTTAAATTCTTTTAATAGTAGCTTCATTTACATTGCCCACATATCCATCCATCCCAAGGGATGCTTTAAGATGCCAGTTTACTAGACCTGGGTGGAAAGTGGTAATATAGATTAAAGCCACAAAGCAGTCACGTGTTGTATCATAATTTGCTGTCACTAGATTTAGTTGAATTACCAACTTTAATGTGTCTGTGTGCAAAGGTCTCTGAAGCAGCCAACCATGGTCCCACCAGAAAATACTCCAACATGCATATATCTGGAGGAAGAGGGAATTTGATGTATATGATGAGAAGACCATCAGTATTAGGCTAGGCTCACAATTCATTACACAAAACAACATGTCTGTCGTAAAAATGAAGCCCACTCTTGAACGTTCCTCATGAAAACTCACTACTATGCGTCTTTAATGTCTTGTAAAGGACATTAGTACCAGACTGGGACTCTAACTGCAATCCATATGATCAACAGTCCGATGGTGTATCCACTAGATCCTTTTGTACCCCTCTCTCTTTAAATGATTAATTACTTGATTATCTTGGACAGGAAATACATTTGATAGCTGTCTTCTAGTCAATAAATTTAGACCAACCAATCAATGAAAACTTGAAAATTGCCACTTTTTGCAGGAATTTTAAAGAATGGACTTCATGGTCTTATTCCTGTTTTACTTTCTTACCTACTACAGGTCAGCTGCAGATTGCTAATTCATCAGCGTTGATTGTAGGTGCTGGAGGGCTGGGATGCCCAGCTGCTATCTATCTTGCTGCTGCTGGCATAGGTATGTATCGTATCGCAATAAGTAATGTCCAATTTGAAGAAGGTCTCATTCCCAGTGCACCAGTGCCCTGTAGTATTTGCCACTTACCAAATCCCTCAGATCTTAGGGCCTTATGTTCCTTGTTTAGAAGCTCATACTTGTCTTGTCAAGATTAGCTTTAATTCTGTACGGTATCAGGTGCAATATTCTATTTGCAATATTCTATGTATAGAATTTTTAATTATGTACTGGGAGTAGCATGTGTGGGGGCACATGCCTCTGGGTAACAGTGATGAACTTCACTTTTGTGCACCCTGACCCACTTGCTGAGCACTCCTTTATCTCTTTGCATGTGTTTGTTCATTCTTATTATGTACCTCTCTCTAGCCATGCTGAATTGTATTTGTTCTTTTTTAGGAACGGTCAAATAAATAATAACAATGATAATAATAACTGTCTTCTTTACCTCTTTTTTTGTTTGTTTACAGGTAGACTAGGAGTAGTGGATTACGATGAGGTAGAACTGAGTAACCTTCATAGACAGATCCTACATACAGAGCAGAGGGTCGGATGGTCCAAGTCAGACTCTATCAAATCTAGTATTAAAAGGTATGGGTATGAAAAGTGTTTTCTGGATCATTATCTGAACCACTTTGTAATAGTCTTAAGCGGACTTGAATATATATCGAAATGAAGAGTGATATGGGATATAGAGTTTATAATAAACTGTCTAGAAGAAAGTTATTCTTTAGTTGTAGATATTCAGGATCATCATCCATTATAAGGTTTTTTAGAGCAGGACAATTTAAAGAAGTTTTAAAGCATGAAATCACTTACCATGTAGGTACATTACATATATAAAGATGAAAGTTGAAATAAGTACATTATTCCAACAAAAATAGGAATGTTGGTTTAAACAACTTTTGTTTTAATAGACAATGGGATTATTCCGTAAAGGAACTTGATTTATAATAAGATGGTTAGAAGGTCTATAAAACTCTTGTTTTGTACTGCTAAATGTCACCAAAATGATTGGATTTAGTTACAAATGATCATTATTATTATTTTGTTTTCCTTTCCCCAGCCTCAACTCATCAGTGCAATGTATAGCTTATCATCTTCAACTTGACAGAAACAATGCTATGGACATCATCAGACAATATCCTTTTTATGATACACTCTGTACCAAGTAGAAGTATATACTGTCAACATGTACCATACTACAAAAATGTTATCAAAAATTGGATGTTGTATTACTCTTAATTGGTGTAAATTTGTCTGGAAAAGAAAAAGGAAATACGACACCGTGTCAGCTTGAACTTTTAGATAATTTTCCTATTTTCTAACTTTTGGTTATATTCATTTTCAGATACATGTAGTTCTGCAGGTTAAAATGTGTTTTCGGATGAAAAAATGAGGAAAAAAAGTTGATGTATTCAATAGAAATCCGATATGGATTTACTAGGAGTGATTTAAAAATATGATATGTCTAACATCATAAAATATTCTGTAGGGAAGAGTGTTTAATGCAAAATTTATGATATCTGTTGAGTTCGCTCATGCTATGAATAAGACGGCATTATGTACATAAGAATGATCTCAGAAACACATCAAAATTTCAAGAGAACATGAATAATATTGATTTAATCACTTCGGTAATCCGCCTCGCAGAATACATCTGGCCCAACATATCTTAACTAGATATCAGTTTCCTTGCAACTTATCATTTGAAATGTGCAAAAATTTTAATGAATATTTCATGTAATCGGTGGAAATGTTATCGCTCCTTAATCGGCTGGTTACACGTATGACATGGTATTGGACTGTACAGACAACGTAGCCACTAGATATCTCCTGAATGATGCCTGTGTGCTGGCAGGGAAACCCTTGGTCTCGGGAAGTGCTCTCAGGTTTGAAGGACAGGTAAACTTAACGCTCCACTGCACTACTTGTAGCTACTTGTGCCCTCTATATAGCAAACAATGCCTGAGCGGTCCCCCATGATCCCCTTTTTCTTATGTTAATTGAGAGCTGATTTGATGAGATAACCATGCACCTGTCAGTGACCATGCAGGGAGGTCTAATCCCTCCTGGCCAAGGCTAGTGCAGATAGGCTTTGAAACAAAAATAGAACTGCCTGATACTGTTTAACTAAAGCTGCAAGTAATTTAAGGCTAATGCTTCTACAGGTTTAAGCTACAGTCCCATATACGTCCCGGACCCCATCCGGGGTGATCCGGGATTCGGTCCGTGTTGACACCGTGTTGGCACCGGGGTGGTCCTGGATGGTCCTGGATTGTCCTGGATGGTCCTGGATGGTCCTGGGCGGTCCGGGAGTTGACCCCGGATGTTTTTGACGGTCAAAAACTGCCGGGGTGGTCCGGGACGGTCCGGGACAATAGTTTGATCCGGGGTGATCCGTGTAGCCACCGTGCTGGGTCCGGGGTCATCCGTAGTGGCACCGGGGCGGTCCGTGTTGATCCGTGGCAGTCCGGGAGTGAGTTATTGACCGCCCAGGACCATCCAGGACCATCCAGGACCACCCCGGTGCCAACACGGTGTCAACACGGACCGAATCCCGGATCACCCCGGATGGAGTCCGGGATGGTCCGGGACGGTCCGGGACGTATATGGGACTGTAGCTTAAAAGCATCACACTTTTTTGAACAAAACATCCCGGACCATCCCGGATCACCCCAGACCATGGTCGGGGATGGTCCGGAGTGGTCCGTGCTCGTCCGTGCTGGTCCGGCTTTATATGGGACTGGGGCTTTACAAAGTCAAATTTAGAGTCGGTGTATATCCATATGTGCATGATCATCCTTAATTTTCACGAAAGGTGGGAGCTAGTACATTTGATACTTAAATCAAGTTTAAGGGGAACTCATTTCCTTTTTACCTTCCCAGCTACCATCTGGACTTGAGTTTGAAATCTTTTTCATTTTCATCACTTTGTGCTAATCAAGAAGACTGAACATCATCCTGTTAAAGTTCAAAAGGTGTTATGTTTTGAAAGATAAGAAAAGAACAAGAGTGTAAGCTAATTATAACCACCATTGATGTGGCTGGTAAAAAAGACTACCCCCCCCCCCCCCCTCTCTAAAATAGGTCAAATAGTCACATAGCTCACCTACTCCTAAGACATGTCATGTTTTTACTCCTTTTATTTCGTGTAGAATTGTATAATATATTATATTTATACAAAAGAAGGTTTGATAAAAATTTAATGCAGCTAGAAACCATCATTTATAATTTTCATCTTTTCCTTTTTCTAGCTGACTGTATATAACCAAGGAGGGGGTCCATGCTACCGGTGTTTGTACCCCAGACCTCCCCCAGCAGAGACGGTCACTAACTGTTCTGAAGGTGGTGTCTTAGGAGTAGGTGAGCTATGTGATCTTTCATTTTCTAGCTGACTTTGTATAACCATGGAGGGGGTCCATGCTACTGTAAAAGTTAAAGCCCCTCTGCACTAGTTTGGCCAGGAGGGATTAGACCTCCCTGCATGGTCACTGACAAGTGGTTATCTCATCAAATCAGCTCTCAATTAACATAAGAAAAAAGGGGACCATGGGGGACCAATGGTCACCGATTAGGCATTGTTTGCTACATAGAGGGCGCAAGTGGCTATAAGTAGTGCAGTGGGGCTTTAAGATTAGACTCGATCTATACTTGTATTTGTTACAATTACTATTTGTTTCTCTAGTCTCTTCTCTCTATACATAGTCATTTCACATCATTTGCTTATTCACTTACTATTCATTTACTTCTATTACTCAACCCAATTCCTTCCTCCATTCATCTCTTCTACATACCAAGTCTTCCATCTCACCTGGTATGTTCCTTTGTTTTCTTCTCATTCTTTATTCATGAATCTTGTGTGAATGCCTTAGATATTGTCCACTTCTTACTTATCATTGGTTCTCTTCTTCTTTTCCTTTTAAATATTCAATCTTACTCCCAAATCCTATTTTGCTAATGGTTGATGATGTATTTCATTTGAATATACTTTGCTTAAAAAATGTACAGTATGAGGCTGCATAGGAGCCTACAATAAAGACAGACACACCTGCACTGGACATCAACAGAGTCAGTTGTATTTATTTAGGGAACTGCTACTTTTATGTTTTAATAGAGAGGATTTATTTGAGTTTGGCAGAGGTTTGTGGATGATTGGATTTTTAATTTATATTGGTGAGAGGTTATTTTTATTAGTTTACACTACAGAGAATGAATAATGAGATCTTTGGTTATTTTTGTTTGAAGATTGGTTTAAATACAGTGTAGTAGATATCTTGAAAATGTTCATATGCAACTTTGATATAACGGATTGAATATTTTCTAAGTATTCTCTTGAAGTGGATGGCTTTTGTGTTTTCATGATTTGCCTGTGTACTTTATCTCTAATATCATGACATCACTCTTTGTTTGAACAAAAAGATATATGATTAGATTGTGGATTCTAAAATTGCTACCATTTGAGTAATTCCTACTTCTGTAATAACCTTTTTAATTTGTTCACATTTTTTTCTTTTCAGTTCCTGGCATCATTGGTTGTATACAAGCACTAGAAGCTCTCAAGATGGCTGCTGGTATAGGCAGTATCCTTTTCCATTCAACATGGTCAAATATGAAGAATGAATTTAAGCAAATAGTTTATATTGGAAAAACAATTTAAAAAGAAGTGCATGGCAAAGTTTGATTATGCTGCAATGAAAGGAAACATGATTTTAGAAAATAATAGGATGTGTGAGATATATATCATGAATGAAGAGGATAATATATTTATATCAATTTATTGACTCTAACAAACAGCAAGGTATAGAATTAAATCCTCTGATCACATTCATATAAAATGTTTCATTCTTTTTTTTCCCTTTTATATGTATGAAAGATGGCGAATATGTAAGAATTAAAATTATGATATTATTAAAACAATGAAAATGGCAAAGAATATTGTGAGACATTCATGTTAGGAAGTCTTGCATACATGTAATATACATGATGCATAATGCACTACTTGAAACAAAAGCTTGAAAATATCGTGAACAAATAGAGTAGTCACATCATGTTTACATGAGCTAGGTATACCATTGATTACTTCATGTAAGAGGATGTGTATGCTTCCTGTATGTTAGCGGCACTTTCTTTCTCATAATCTGGATTGGCTGTTACTTGTATAATACCTCAGTCCCAGGAAATTCTCTCATGCAAACTATGCAAAATGAAAAAAATCATGCCATGTTTCCCTTAATGTATGCCATCAGCATCCTACTCCCAGAAGCTATTACTGTTTGATGGGTTGGACGGTACGTACCGGTCTATCAAACTCCGACCCAAGAAACCAACGTGTGACGTGTGTGGCGACAATCCGTCTGTAACGCAGCTCATCGACTATGAAGAGTTCTGCGGTGCCAGCGCCACCGACAAGGTATTTGACGTGCTTTGTTTTGGCACTCATTTTAAAATGTTCCTGCATATTTCATGGAAAATTCTGTCGTTTTCATCTTTCCAATACTGTCTCATTTGGCAGCTTACATGTATGAGTAGCTATAAGCTCAGTTGGTATTTTTAATTTTAAATAATATGTTTCCTTTTTGTCTATCTTTTATTTTTTTCCTCTGTCTCTGTCTCTTTCTCTGTCTCATTCTCCCCTCTCTCTGTGTCTCGTTCCCTTTCTCTCTGTGTCTCGATCCCTCTCTCTCTCCCTCTCTTTCCCTCTCCTTTCCCTCTCCTTCCCTCTCTCTCTCCTTCCCTCTCTCTATTCTCTTATTTGACTATCTTCTATTCTAAGAAGAGTTTTATTAGTGGCTGAAAAGCGACATTTAAATGTAGACTGAGACAGTGCTATTATACTTTTTGTCTAAAAAGACGTACCCAACATGCTTATCGATTAAAATTGTTTTTTTTTTATTGACAAATGTGTTTAAGGGAAAACTGAGTATAATACTGCTTTACCTGTTTTCTTGGGTGGTCTTCCTACTGGTTTCTACATGATGTTATATCTTTTCCTTTTGTTGTTGTTGTTGCAGTGTATAACCTTACATCTCCTCGAAGCCAAAGATAGACTTAGCCCGCAGACCCTTGCCAGTGAACTCCTCAGCCAGGACTCCTCTTCTCGTCTCCTTCTGGATTGTAGACCGGAGATAGAGTTTGAGATCTGTAGACTACCAGATAGCATCAGTATCCTTGACTATGACTATGAATGAGCCACATGCTTTTTAGTTAATGGGACTAAACGAAAGAAGATGGGCACATTCTAGGATAACCACCCTATTTTGGATGATCGATTTAAAGAAAGAAAGACTGCCTCCCAAACACAGAATTACCTTCAAAAGTTTTGAGAACTTCATTTTACATTTGCTTCAAATAGAGAGGGAGGACACGTTGTAGTCTCCTAAAGGTTGGTGTAGTTTTCATGAGAGAAGAAACTACTCTTGTGTCTGGTGGGTAATGGTAGGAGAGATGAGGGGAGAGGGGCACTCATCTTTATATACAATGAGCACAATATGAATGATTATGATTTTTGGAAGGTCGGTTCTACACTTCATTATAAGGAAATCTAATTTTAGTAGTATTACAGTCACAGTTTATCAGCAACTTGAAATAGAAGAGATTAAACACTACGATAGTACGATCTGGTCACACCTGTATCTTTTTTCATCTGGTTTTCCTTTTTATTTCTTCATCGAGTTGGCATTAAGATTAACATAATAAGCTGACAACAACTCTGGTAAGAAAGTTCCAATAGGGCTTCAGTATCAATTCATAATGTTTACCTTGACCCATCCTTCATAGATGTTCCAATCGATGACATTGAAAATGAGAAGGGCATACCAAGGTTAAAAGAAGTGGTCACCAAGCAGCTTGCCAACCAACACGATAATCCTTTTCCAAGTGAGTGACTACTCTACTAAATTTTTTAATAAATCATGAAAGTAAAAGCCTTTGAAACTTTACCTCATATCTTGGAAACTTAACTTTTCACTGTGTAGTTACTTATTACTGCCAGTATTTACAAGGGGCAAGCTGAAAGTATTCAGGTCAGTTGGGTCACTTGTCTACTCCATATGTTGATGAGTGTTGTGGAATTCTGCACACATATTGACATCATAGGTGTCGTTGCACTTTTGGTCTGATCCAAGCTCGAGAAGGGTCATTAATTTTCTTGATCTTGTCGTGTTCAATAATATTAAGTCAACGCTTGACTTGCCCATCAAGATTTTGAATTGATTGTCACCCCTCGCAAACAAAAGCATCAAGTAATATGCCTTAAATACCAATTTTGCATGCCCCCTCAATTTTAGATAGTACCTTTATGGCCAATTTTGTTCTTTCTTACTTGCAGTTTACGTTGTATGCAGAAGAGGCAACGACTCGCAGAAAGCAGTACTCAAGCTACGCAAGGAGTTGGACTCTTTACCAGTCGCTATCAAGGATGTTTGCGGTGGACTAACAGCATGGACAAACCAAGTAGATCCAGATTTTCCAGAGTACTAAAGCAAGATAAAGGGTGCTCTATTGATATAATCTTTGGCCTATCTGCCATTTAACATCTGTTTCTTATAAAGTGCTTTACCATTACGATTAATGTATTGAATTGCTTACTATTATTACCCCGGTCACTGGATTCCATTACTATTCTGCACAGCACAGTTCGCATTCTTCACTCCCTGCGGAGCATTTGAGCCATACACTGTAAGTGATTTTTTTTTTACAATAAGATCAAAGGTTTTAAACATATATAATGCTGTTTTGAAATATGAAAATTAAGACTTTTTTTTCATTTTTCAAGACAAGGCTTTTTAATAGGTCATCCCTGATTCCACTTGATTCAAATTATAAATCAGGGTGATTTTAACAAAATATGTTGCAATCTGTCAGTAACATTATTGTAGTGCAGACGTTTTACACTCCGCGGGCAGGATGTGCCAACTAGGCCACGGCTTTGTTTGGTTGCAATTTACGACCGGGCTTGTAGAACTATTCGCAGCAGAAGGCTTCCAATGTGCTATTTTAGCTGCTGCCTACCAAATATTTATTATTACCAAAGCTACCATACCAATTTCTACCAGTTCTACCATATCGCCCACCTGTATTTCATGATACACATAAAACTCAGCAGGCTATGACTTCTTTTCAGTAACTCTTTAATAAACCATAGTGTACACTTCGTCAACTTGTCCACGCATGGCCTGTACTCGGGGCTCACCAGCTCCTTACATGTGACATGCACATCTATTTATTTGTGGAAATGAATATGTTAAAACAACAACACATATTTTAGAAACCTGATCATAAACGGCATGTGCACTCTGGGGATGTTTGCGTGTCTGGAGGTTGACCTTTCAGTTCAGACGAATCCTAGTTGCCAGCTTCTTCTCTTGCCGCAGCTTGTAGGCCACGCTCTTGATGGTGGTAGATCCGTGCGTACGCTAACCCGGGCGAAGCTCTGGGGCATTGTTGCTGCTACTCTATTGCGAGCTTCTTCTCTTGCTGCAGCTTGTCGGCCAACCCTGCAAGCCAGCCACGCTCTCGTTTCATTTTCGATGGTAGATGGTAGCTCTGGGGCGTAGTTGTTGCTACTCTATTGTGTTGCTGCGGCTCGTCGGGTGGCATGGGAGGTTGCGGGGGTGGTGGAGGCTCTGCAGGTTGTATAACATTCAAGTTTGAATACTTTTCATCTCCTACCCTAGCACTACATGTATATTGCACTGTTACAGTTTTATTTCCAAAATGTAGTGGTAAACCTATGATCCCTATATCTCTGTCAACAGAATATATTAAGACATTATTACAGTCTGTCAATTACATGAAGCCAGATTTGCGTATCTGACTCCTCATGATTGTGTACAAAGCGATGGTGACCATAAAGCCTTGCCACCTATTAGTCGGGAAATCTTGTTTTGCCTGGGATAATTGTCGGGGTAGGCAGAAACGACCGATATGACGACGATGATGATGTTTGCCTAGACGACGTTTCGATGCAGTGCTTGATGATTTTGCTCGTCGGCTCGTGATGGACGCCGACAAGGGAAACGGAGACAACTTTGCATGTGCCTGGCTAATTTTGTGGTTTTAAACCTTTTTCTACTTGTCCCACTTGAGGGCCTGTCACTGATGTTGAATGGCAGGAAAGAGGATTGTCTTCTGGTAATTATAAAAGGTCCTCTCTGAGATTCTAGCAACTTTCAGGTGCTTTAGGACACGCAGAGATTCCCTGCTGCTGCCACCGGCAAACAGAATGGATGCTGACAACAGGATGTTGCCAGCAGGCATATTCCAATATGAGGGCTGGCTCTCCCATGTCGTGACTGCCGCTGTAATAACTCTCGCACTCTCTGACGGCTAACATGGTTCCACCCTCCCTCTTAAACAATGTCACATTACATGACTGGCAATTCGGGCACCTCACAAGGAGCTCCATCAGTTTGGACTCGAAGACGATGTACTTCTTCTCGATATTTGGATGAACTGTCCTATGAGGAACTTCCCATGGAGTCCTAGGAGTCTGTCCTCTTTTTCTACATTAAAGATTCCTTTAAGAGCATATTCTTAAACTCCTCCATATCGAGGCCAGCACCCTCACCAGTTGTCAACACTGAGTTCATTACCTGTCCCATGTCATTTCCAACATTTGTCATCCAGTTTGCGGTGTTGGCTACATCACCAGCAAGTTTCTTTGTGATCTGAAATGATTAATTGACGAACCAAATATGAAAATAAGATTTTACTCCATCTCTTTCTTTTGTACGTGTATGTAGGAATATTATCATAATTTGTTAAAGTCCTGGGCGCACAGCATGGTCATTGTACCGGTTACAAGCAACTCCCGTCACGGAACTTTCTTTCAAAGTCGCGGACCCCCATACCGCCACTGCCAAGTTTTTCACCATTAGACTGTTTTTTTATTTGGTTGGTGATTGAGTTCAGCTTGAACTCTGGTATGGAGATGCCTGCCCCTAGTGATACCTTGAAATAAGAATGAATATACGACACAAGTTTTAAAAAGAGGGACTCCCTGTTTTCCACTTGCAGGCTGTCCCATAAGTATCCATCCACTTTAGTCATAACTACAAACATGTGTTTGCATGTATACCACTGGTGTATCTAGTCCGGACATTCACAATTCGACAAACATTTATATTACCTTTAAACAAAACAAAAAATTACAAATATACCTACAAATTACAATACATATGAAATATACATCAATGTGAACACTCAACAGAGTAAGTTAATCATCAAAAGCGATTTTGAATAAATGTGTCTTGATGAGTGTTCTTTCGCTTTCTGCAAAAGTACAGTAGGAATGTTGGAATAAGTGAATGGTGGTCTTTACTCATAGTGGTGTGGTCCCCATCAATTGTGTACTGAAGGAAAGGCTTCACAAGTTAGTACGGGAATTACCCTTCCTGCTTATACCCCATCACCAGAATATCTGCACATGCTTTTCACTCCTGTTCGGTCATTGTGTCTCTAATACAGGGAACCTTTACATTGTCTCCTGTTGCGTTCATAAGGTAGAAACTCTCCCAAAACTCGGATAATGTGTCTCTCAGCACTCCATCTGTATCTCCCGAGGCTCATTTTATTACTTCATTGTTCTTTAAGTGTTCTGTAAGTTCCTTTAAAACATGCCCACGGTGTAGTTTAACCTTGACTGCAGTTTTGGCTTCATTCCTCGCAAAGATGTAGAAGGCTACATTAGCAAAGAAGCCCAAGTGAGAGCATCTGCCCTTATGTACAATAAAGGGCTGGAAGATGGCAAGAATGCTGACACTGTGGCCAAACTGTGCTCCAGACTAGCTTCCTTAGAGGCAGTTTCTCCTCCTCCTCTCGTCGTCTTTCCTCTTCTCAAGATAACGTCGAGAGACCAGCTTAAAGTTGAGGTATTGAGCCTCCCCTCGATGATTCGGGTGACTTCTCCCGTAATGCTGTGCCACCTCCGGCAACCCCAATGTTTCAAAATTGCAGTGGGTGCAACTTAACGTTAACTCTGTCTTGTGCGCGAGTGCCATGTGGGCATCAAGGTCGTTCGCCCTCTCCTTGGTTGCGCTGCAAAGAGTAGACTTGAACATCTGTAGTAGAAATATTGGAATAAAAGGAACATTGCACGTGCATGTATTAGTAGCTGCCTTACTCCTGATACCTGTGTGGAGGTATCCCTTACTCTACCAGGATTTTGCCGGTAATGCAGAAACTTCACATGAATAGGCTTCGGTCTTGGACCTGTGAATGAGGTCATCTTCTTTGTTGGCGTGCAATGTGCTTGCTCCATCTCCATTGATTGCGGAATAATCAATCCATCAGATCTGCACCCCCGAAGGCATGTTAGATGAAGAAAGAACTAGCTGTTGATAGGACTGTGGCTCTGGCCTCCCTTTGTTGTGCTTACACACATTTTGAACCCTTGATAGGACTTTCTTCTCCTCTTCCTCAGTCATCACCTGAAAATGTGGGATTATACTGAGTGGCGCCCTCTCTTTATAGTTCTGATGCCGGAAACGGTCCATAAACTGCTTTTGTTGTTGTTGGATCGACGAATCCCATCGATTTGTATACCAGTGTCATCTGAAAACACATGGAGTCAAGTAGCCCCTGAATCATCTTTCTACTCGTCTCTACCCCACGCGTCCTCCTTTTACTGTGCTTAGCCAGCTCACTGCTTGTGATATTCGTTGAAATCTGTGCTTCTGTAGGCTCACGACCACCTCTCTTCTTCATCTCTCTCCTCCTCGCTTCCCTCAGCTCGCTGACATCCCTTGCGTCCCTCTCAAAGACGCAGCTGAACAGCCAGCCTCGAGAGAAACGTGCCGAAGAGAGGATGGTGCTCCGTAGTGAGACCTGCAACTAATCTCCTCATGAAGTGGAATATGTCCAACCTCACTGCATGTCCATGGACGAAAGTGAGAAAAAATTGTACAGAGTGATTTATATTCGTTAATGATGTGGTGGTGGTGTGATTATGAATCCAGTGAAGGCTCACCTGGGTTGGATAGGTGCCAATCTCATTATGTGGAATATGTCCAACCTTACTGAATGGCTACTAAGAATGACTTGCATTACATTATATCCCCTTGAAATATAACTATTATTGGCGAAACTCTCATGGATGTATTGACTATTCATCTTTATTATTGCAAGTTTGTTTAGGTTTTCTGGGTTGAGGGCACATCTTTTTTTGGAAAGGATGTTACCGGCCTTCGAGAACATGCGTTCTGATGTGATGCTGGCCATCAGGCAGGTTTGAACGCCAATGCCGCTTTTGAAATTAATGGAAATGCGTTACCATGCTCTTTGAAATATTGAAGCACTGCTTTCTGGCTACTCGCTGTGGCGATGTTTGGTTCATCTAAATAGCACTGGAGTTCTTGGGAAGTTTCTTGATGGTCTACGTTTGAATATTTACCTGACAAAACGTTCTCAATCGCATGGATCTCTCTTTCATACAAATCGGTCATCATGAAATGAGGATTCCAGGGTGGATTCCACCTCTTAATGATTTGTAAGGCCTCTGTGATGCTTGCAGTTGTCTCATCCTGCACAACGAATTCAGCAACCACTTGGTAATCCCCATTGGTTTTCACTGCTACTTGAAACAAGGGTAAACTGAATTGGTTGTTTTGTAGGTCGCATCCAGGAAAGTTATTTCTTGTCCATAACGCAGAAGAAGATGCGATTGCCATGGATTCTGGTGTACAAATAACAGTCTGTTGGATATTGTTCTTTGCCTGGGATGGTAGTCGGTGGTAATGAATGAGATAATGCAGTTTGCATGGGAAATTATCAGACAATTGAGAAAATAACTCATTGAGATCCATAACAACTCGTTGCAAGTAGTTCACCACCCCAGTGAAACCGAAAGCATTAAATTTCAGACAATATGAACCTTTCCTGTGCCAATTCAGGATAAAAATCAAGGCTCATGTTTTGAGTATGATTCTGCCTACCCCCACGGTAGGCAGAATCGACCGATATGAACGATGTCGATGATGTTTGCCTAGACGTCATTTTCTCATTTCTTTCCGTTGTCTTCTGCAGTTTCTCCTTTCTTCATTTCTCGTCTTTCTTCTTCTCAAGATAGCGTCGGGAGGCCAGCTTAAAATTGAAGTATTTTGCCTCCCCTCGATGACTCGGGTGACTCCTCCCGTAGTGTCGCGCCACCTCCGGACGCCCCATTGTCTCGAAATTGCAGTGGATGCAACTCAATGTCAGTTCCGTTTTGTGGTTCAGGGCCATGTGGGTGTCCAGGTCGTTGGCCCTCTCTTTTGGTGTACTGCACAGGGTACAATTGAACATCTGTAGTAGAAATATTGGAACGTAGCCTTTAATGCTGGTAATTGTCCATTTCGCTGGTCCCTTACCCTCTTAGGCAAGTCATCTGCGATGAAACAATTTTGTCGCTGTTTCCCTTCAGATTTTTGGCATGTGCTTGAATCAAGACTTTATCAGCGTAGCGTAGGTAGCGTACTTTAATTGATGTGTCCCAGCTTTCATAGCTTGGATTAATGTGCTCTTTGATGTTTTATTTGTCTTGCCCTCTCAGGCGAGATTTTCAACTGACAACCCTTCGCCCCCACTCCTCGCTGTGTATCTCCTCCAGGGCCTGCTGGCAAGAGCTGGAGCTGTTCCCTTCAGTCTGTGGCTTTAATAATGTAACACATTTCCTGTCCAGGGCCAGGGGAGCTGTCAGGACGGCTGGAAACACTTGCCTGTGTCTTGGATCAAGCTGCCTGATGATGTTCCAGGGAGACAGAGGCAGCTTACATCGACTACACCGTGGGTACTCGCCTCCCACCAGGTAGTAGTGCGATTCAATGTCCACCGCTTCCCTAACCTTATGGTAGATCCCAGACAGGTTCATTTTAACGTCACATGTAGGGCACTTCAGTGGGATGCCCCACATTCTCATGGGAGCCCACACAAATAGTCGCCTCCGAAAGTAGCTCCCTGGGTTAGGAGGGGTCAATGTTGGTTTCGGGGGAGCAGGGGGAAAAAACCAATTCTGAGGAAAGGTCTCCCTCAGCTGTCCTTGATGATCGTATTGAATGTGGGATATCCAGTCCTGGTCGGCCTCCAAAATCTCCCTTCTAAACTGCACTGACAAGAACTTCTTAAAGTCAGGTCGTGGTGGTGCCCGAGGGAGTGGCTCTGCCGATGGTCTTAACAGGACACTTAGCTGAGAACTCTTGATTTAACTCACCTGTAGAAGGCTGCCGCTCATTACATTAATAACTCGCTAATGGTTGTAAGCGTCTGTAATGTATAAGGAAAAAACAATGCATCTATCACAGTAATAGAAATCAACATTTCAAAAATACAAGTATAGGGTAGCACTGTTTATATAGCGAAAGGCTGCCGCTCATTACATTAATAACTCGCTAATGGTTGTAAGCGTCCATAATGTATAAGGAAAAAACAATGCATCTATCACAGTAATAGAAATCAACATTTCAAAAATACAAGTATAGGGTAGCACTGTTTATGTAGCGAAAGGCTGCCGCTTATTACATTAATAACTCGCTAATGGTTGTAAGCGTCCGTAATGTATAAGGAAAAAACAATGCTTCTATCACAGTAATAGAAATCAACATTTCAAAAATACAAGTATAGGGTAGCACTGTTTATATAGCGAAAGGCTGCCGCTCATTACATTAATAACTTGCCAATGGTTGTAAGCGTCCGTAATGTATAAGGAAAAAACAATGCATCTATCACAGTAATAGAAATCACGAGTGACAAACAATGTTCAATGTAGAGGAATGTCTTCATTTCTCGCATATTCTAAATACAAATTGTTGACAACTTCAACATCCAAAGATTTGACGACTTCGTACCTCTTGGATATTTACTACTCTCTGTCCTCGCTTTCGCTGGACGTCTATCCCTAAAGCAGATCTAACCATTATCCATAGTGTCGTGACCTCTTCGACTAGCCTTTTCAACAGGAAGACAACTTCATTGTCACGCTTTCTCTTCTGGCCGCACATCAGTAATGTAGATATGGTAAATTTCCTACCATATCTTGGATTTGTGACATACCAATGGAACGTCGCATACATGAACTCGCTGCTTAGTCCTCTCCACATATCAGTGGTGAAACTAAAAGGATCGATTGCTCTCCAAATGTCGTCTTTCAG